TTCTAGCCCGACTTGTGTGTCTCTGACAGTTCGATAGAGATATTCACATGGGATCAAAAATAGATTTATATGAAATGGAAGCATACACGGATCATGGGACAAACAATTTTCAAAGGTAGTCATACCTTACGGTAAATTCTGAAACACATTAATGAAAAATTATTTCTTCTCGCATCTCTAGTGAATAAACAGTTGACGAATCCGTGTTTAACTTCGGATTGAGTGGTTGACAATTCAGGTTGTTTAAACTAAACTGAGAGGTGATGCGGCATCTCTTGTTCATCATCAAGGAAGCAAGCTGTTCTGGCGCTTAGGCCCCCTTCCGCGTGCACATATGGCTCACATGTTGACAGTTCAACAACATGGCTCATTTAGATTTGTTTGGGATTCTGATGAAATAGCACAATTCTAAGTTAGTTCCGTGGTAGTTCGTAAAACCCAACAGTCTGATGTGTTGTGTTCCAGTGTAATTGAATCAGTGTTTCGATGTCACGTGTGTTAATTTGATATTTATCCCCAGTCTTGTGATGAGCACTGCACTTCTCGAAAATTATTCTCATCCAAGATGGTTTAGAACTTCATACAGATAATGCGTGGCTCATGAAAATATTTTCTTCTTTCAAGTCATTATGATGCCTAATAAGCGAGGAGAACAAACTTTTCGATCTCGATGTTTATGAATTCGGCCATTCTCGTTTTGGTACAAGCATAATATGTCGGGTACCGTAAGATGTATCAAGTATTTGTCAATCAGGGTTATTGAGATGCTCCATATTTTTGATTTGGAACCGGAAACTTTCAAATGAAGCTGTTACGGGTCATGCGGTTTGAGTCTTTGTCACCCGTGTGTGCTCTGGGTCCTCGGATTCGAGGTTTGAACCCCACCACGGTGACTTAACTTCGGTGCTGGCCACCTTCGCTGTCTTCCGGCTCAATACCACGTCTAACCTAACGGGGTCTTATGTAGGCGGGCGGTTTCTATGACCGAACAGCAGGTCATCACGATTTTGCTGTTTACCCTATCTACTGTGTGTAATAGAAAAGCTCCGCCCCACCACAAATATGATATAATGCGAATATTGGTTAGATTTAGACTGCAGACTCTTGTTATGCCATATTTAGTCGTCCGTTTTACTAGTTTGTCAATTCACATGTTTGTCCAAACCATAGTCGCCATATTGCCTGTACGTAGTCGAACAAAGTAGACAAACTTCTTGATCTCTTTCATCACCAGATAGGTTGCCACGGCGAGCGATGTTTGCCAAGGCTGGTAACGGTTGGAAAAAGATCAAGAGTGCTCAAACTAAGATCTGGCATGAGGCTATGAAAACCCTAACCAGGAGACTGGGTCACGTAGGCTACCTGGCTGGGGACCTCGGGATGATGGTCACCGATGGTTAGCAACACTGAGTGATATGGCTGGATGTCGCAAACAGTGGCGCTCGTGCATCCACTCATTATTCCCCTATCAATATTCTATATGAATTCTCCATCTTCTGCAAACAAGAGCCCCACAGGGGATCCCATTGCTACACCGTCCTTCTGGCGATAGATTTCCTTATTGACTTTGAGTTGCAAATTGTGAGTGCAGAAGAATAACAATTAAGTCATTTGTCGGTAGGCCTACTTCAATCCCGTTACCTTCGGTATACGTACACAAATAATCAATTGTTTCGCCGATCGGAACATTCGTGAACAGAGATGTGATGTCCAGCGAAAACATGTAACGATCTTTGATGTTTAAGCCACTCAAGGCGTCAGTGAACTCGGTTTTATCCTTG